CCCCAAAACCCCAAAACCCCTTTATTCTTTAAATTTTAGAGTATAATTGCTGAAGTAATTAAATTTAAGATAAATGTTGTTTAAATATAAGGTCTAAGTTACTGATAAAAATAAAAATTACATTAGTTTTAGATTTTAACCATTTAATAAGTTAAAGTGCAAAATATCCTTTATAATTAATTTTATAATAAATAGACAAATAATTTCTTTTAAAGATGTCAGTATTTTAAAGCTTGAAATAAAACTTCAGTTTATTTGGTTCCAATATTAACTCATGAATGCTGTTATCTTGAAATATTCCTGTTATTTAGACAACACTATTTGGAATTCTTCTATTATCTCTGTAAGTATTGAAACAAATTAATTAGTAGTTTATAGAACAGTAAATCTTTAGCAATCAAAAAAATGTTTCGATCTAAAATAATTACCAATAGTAATAGGAGATTTTGAACTTGATAATGTCGAAATACAGAGTATAGACTTCTACTAAAGCGAGCTCTACATGGCGTTTGGTGGAACCTACGACTCAAAGCCTTTATTTGGACTATATAGTTTTGTTACAGGCTATTAGAGGATCCTATGGCTATAAGATTATAAGTTTGTTAATCAAGGAAATTTTGTTCATTAATAAGTTGATCAAGTAAAACTATCGAATAAAAGGCTAGGTAAGTAGGAAACTATTTTAATAACAATTCTAAACCTATAAGAACAAGAATCTAATAAATATATGATAATTTTTATAGTTGCTTCTTTACAATCCAAAGCAATAAATGAATTGAATCAAGGATCGTACGAGTTAATCTCACTAAATAGGGCAGGGAACGTTCAAGGAGGAGCTAGAGTAGAGAGTTTGGTTAATAAGCCAATTCAAAAATAAAACTTTGAAATTTTGAAAGATGGGAGAATTATTGTAATCTATCAAGGATACTAAAGCGACATATTGACTGTGATTTTTACTGCAGACTTTTTGTAAGTACAAGATGCAGTATCAATTAGAAGTACTAGCTAAGATATTGCTATGTTAATTTATGACTCCTTAAACAGAGTATATGCAGCTGGAACTTAAATAATTGAATAGCAAAAGTATCTTTTCTGCACATATTCAGTAAATTTAGACCAAAACCTTAATTTTGGAGCATAAAGAATTCGATTAATTGATAAAATGGTTAATATTAATGTTGGATCATTATATTTTACTGGAGACTTTTTATTAGGATGCTTAGAGGATAAATAGAAAAGTTAAGATAATTTAAATATTGGATATTTTGCCTTTAAACCTCAGGGATTTTTATTATAATATTACAGAGATATGTCAACATATGATAATAAATTCTCTAGTTTAACTTGTCAAGGTATAAATCCAGGTGGTCCAAACCAATTGCTATTATACTTCTTTGGTCATGGAGTCGATCACGTTTCAAATACATGGTTTTTTTTCTTACTTACTGAAAGTGAAATCATTGCAAATACTTAGTTTTAAATATTTTATGTAGCTAGTGTTTATAACATTAAAAATGTATACAGAAACCTTGGATTAAGATAATAAATCTATTTTTCCCCATTTGGAGATCAGTTAACTTGTGGATACTTTCTCAGTGAAAATGGAATTACGCGGTCAGGTATAATCCTTAATATAAAAAGCAATACTTAATATTACAACTTTGAAGTAACATCAACTGTAGGTAGCACATACCTTTATTAAGCTCATGATAATATAGCATCATCTGTAGTTACGTTTAGTGTTTCACAAACAAGCATAACTAGTGTCTCTCATTTGATCATAATACCTGATGTCGATAGAAGAGATAAATATTAGCCATTTCCTAATTCAACTTAATCAAAAATAAAAGATATAGCTTTTGGTGCTCTGGTTTTAGAATTATCATAGAAAAACAATTCAATTTATGTTTGTGATAGTTCTAAAAGTATTTGCAACATAGATATAGGCACAATAAACAAAGATTAGTGTACGGACTGGCCATAACCATTTAGAATATTCATTGACTAATTAGAAATAGGACCTAAACTAAAACAAAGTTAGTTTTCATATATTAAAAAGGATTTCGACTTAAATTTGCTTAATGATCTCAGTATAAGCATAAATGGAATCGATGACTTGTAAATTGGAACTTATAATATTACCTATGATATTCACTATGTTTAATAAGATACTTCATGGAGTTTAAAGAAAGGATACATATCTATAGTTATTGTAAGTAAGTGTGAATATGGTCTTGAAGTTTTGAGCTATCCTTATATCTAAGATATCACTTTTTCCATAGGATAATCTTCAAAATAGTTTGCATTTTCAGGAGTTTTATACAATAAAGATTTTTAATGCAATAGCTTTATTTCATCACTAGTATATAATCTTACAACAGAAGATTCGGACTACATTAGTTAATAATTCTTAAGTGTAAATCAACAAGCAAATTAAATAATTCTTGATGGTTCAAAAGTAAAACAAATCGGAGTATATAAATTCAAATTAGATGCTAAGCTTTAAAATGCTTAAATTCAACTACCTGCTTATCATATATTCCAAGTAGAAATAGTTAATTTTAATAATCAGTATGAAATATTAAACTTACCCCCATTTTTTGATAAAAAGATTCCTGATATTTACTTAAAGTCAGGACAAGCAACAAAATACCTACTTCCTAAAATAAAAGATATTGAAAATGATATTCCCATTATTACAATCCTTAGATTTGGATTTTCTTACTATTTTACTAGTTTATGAGAAAATATTCTTATTTTCAATCCATAAAAATAATTTACTGGAAATTTTCAATTAATGCTTAGACTTTCAGATGGTTAGAGTAATAAAAATAATACATACAGAATTAATTTGATAGTGATTAATTACGATTAAAAACCATATATAGATGATTCGGATTTCATTAAAATTATATAATCAAATAAATTTATCAGAAAACTTTCTGCAACTATTTTTAAAATTGGATATTAAGGGAAAGTTACAATCAAATTTAACAAAGAATTATTTGTACCTAAAGCGTTTCTTTACATACTCAGAGACTCCCTTAGAATAGATGCCACAATAAATAATCAAAAATTCTACTAAATAGGCTATGAAATTCTCTAAATGTATGAAAATTATTTAATTTTACAGTTAAATTTAACAGACTTTTCATAAATTGATTCTAAAAACAATGTAAGTGTTCTATATCTAATTACTTTATAGGAGTGGATCACTTTATCAATACACTTCATCTATCATGAATATTTTATCGATAAGTAAATTCGATTATAATTACCAAGAAACTATACAATCACAAAGAAGACACCTTATTTCTTATCAAAGGGTAAGCATTAAGCATATTTCTAAACTTATTACAGATGAATACTCGATAATTTAAAAATTTGGAGAAGCTTATGTGATAACCTTCGAGGCTCTTGTTGGATAAAATATGATGATGAATATTCTTTTGTAAAAGATTATTTTTATTAACTTACTTTTTAGTTCTTAGAGTTTATAAATGATGTGGGGATTAATTAAAGGATTTCAATTTATATCTCACTTGCCATTAATGTCAATATATACTCCAACAAACATCCAGATATTCTTCAGTATAATCATAGAGATCTCTAGCTTTTAATTTTTCTCAACAGATGACATTAACTCTCAGCTCTTTGATGCTTAATCTGGAAAAAATTATTAAGACTATTCTTTCAATATTTTTTTTGATACAATGGGTTACACATCTCTCAACAGCATTAAAAACTTAGGAGTCATATTCTACATATTTTTACTGAACTTATCATGCTTGATTTTAGCACAATTTTTGAAACTAATTGATTTTAATAGTTAGATGTAATTGATTTAGCTATCTTACTCTTATTATAGAGCCTAAAAGTTCAAATAAAACTTTATTGAAATGGTGATTTTCGGATTTATTTTTAGATTTATGATAGAATCAATAATTGAGTTGATCATTTGTTCAGCAATGTAACTTTTATCAACAGTAAGTTTAGTTATTTAATTTTCTTCAGTGGAATTTAAGCAACGAAATTGATAATGCTGGTATTGTTCTTAGTATTTTTTTCTTTATCGTATCTATCATCTTTCCCATCATGATAATATGCCTTTCATACTACATTAAAAACAACTAAGAAAATAAACAACTTATAAGACCTTACATTGCACCATTTGAAGGCTTACAAGTAAAGGAGTACTAATTTGTCGCAGTAATTATTTTCAGAAAAGTTATGTTCTCATTAATCTTTATAATTTTCGAAGAGAGTTAAGGAATCTAGATAACTTTGATTCTATTTATGAATTTCATTATGATTATCCTTCTAATTTCAAGAAAGCCGTTTGAAATTTCAAAGATTAATGCTATTGAGATATTCAATGAATTGATCCAATTGCTAGTAATATACACTTTTATGCCATTTCTTGATAGTTTTCCTTTAACAAGCAAGTAACTTGGATTACAAATTGGCTATTTTTCAATATTTTTGGCAATGGTTTTTCTCTTTGTCAATATTTCAGCTATTATCTATGATTAATATCTAATCTTAAAATAAATATTGATAGAAAGGAAATATTTACCAAATAAATAAAAGTAATACCATGAAACTAAAAGTAATTACGATTCTATAAACTACACTTCAAATCCACACCAAAAAAATACTGATAACTAAAAAATTATAAGAAAAATATAAGGCTCCTTAAAGGCGAGACCTTTAAAACGATAAGGATCCCATAAAATTTTAAAGAACTAAATTGCTTTTTATTAATGATAATTTAATTGAGGATTAATAGTAGTACACTCGATAAATACTTTTTATTTTTAAAATTCCTAAGAATTCTAAATTCTTAATATTTTAACTTATGGGGTTTTGGGGTTTTGGGG